ACGTATCTGCGCAACTTTGAGGGTGAAAAGAGTCGATATTCCGAGATTCTCGAAATTACACTGTGTTATGGTGTGCAGTGTCTAGCACGCACCTTTTCATTAAAAGGTATTAACTGTAACGAGTTGCGCGCCATTACAAATTATGACAAGGCTAAAACTGGGGATTTTTATATACGCAATGCATCTCGTTCAGTTTCAGGCACTTCATGCGTCTTGCAGCGGACACCGGTGGAATTACGGTCCAAGCCGCCACATACCTGGCGAGACGGAGAGGTCAAGATATCAGACATTCCAGAGTTGTCAAAAAATACTCAGACTGATCTACAAATAAATAATGACCACTCAATGACTGGAGCTGGTGACCTGAATCTATATTCGCTTCCTCCAGCATTTGACGAGATTGACTTCTATAGTAAATGGTTAGGAAAGCAATTCGTGGATCTAGCGTGGAAGACCTTCGCAGGAAGGGAAGTATCGACTTTGAGTACGCGACAAGGGTTGGACGACCTGTTTAAACGTTTCGATCAAAGAAAAGTGCAATCGGCAATACCACCTCTAAATCTACCAGTATCAACGTTTGCTGAATTTTTAGGTACTTATGTCACGGAGTGTGTGCGTCTGTCACATGGAGTTGGATGTAAGCTGAATGAAATCATGAGTGACAGTGAAGAAAACTGTACTGCACACTGCAAAGAGAACAGTTATAGCAACACAGAGTCTAGACTATCTTCAATAAAAAGTGGACGAAGACGAAAAGGTGATAATTTGCGTAGCCTGATCGGCAACGAGAACAGGTTGGACCCCCCACATGTCAATGTACGACAAACACAGCCACCCCTTCCTCCTCAGCGTCAACGTCAGATTTCGCATATGATGCAAAAAGTAAAGTCAAAAATCCAACCTGACCTTGATGCACGGCGAAAAAAAATCCTGCGAGTGAAGAAAACACAATCGCAACGAATAGCGGAGACTTTAGCTAGGGCTCGATTGGCTGAATATGACGCGCGGCGAGAGCTACAGGGCGGACGTGAGCAGAATTTACGTATCAAAAAGACGCCAATCAGTGAAATAACCACAGGTATCGTTTGTTACAGAAGCTGATATAATGTGAACCATATTTAGTGTTTTATCGTAGGTGCTGCGGCGTTAGAAATAGTGGATGATTTCATGAAGAGTCCTCTTATGGATAAATTCAGTCAAGAAAATGTACCTAATTCTACTGAGGTGAAGCCTCCGACGTAAGTTCATAAATAATCTGTCCTGTTCGATGTGAATTGTTTTACAGCTCTTTCATTGCCAAAGCAAAAATGGTATCATTCAAAAAGATCCGCTCAAAGAAGAGCTCTACGGCACTGTTGCGCTGGACAGCTCCTTCCTTGGATGCAAATGTGTACCTAAACGACGGCTTCATCCAGAGAGCGAAACCAAATCTCGAAGGCGAAGTAAGACTTCAAATGACAAATGCTCATACGAGGGGCTAACACTTCGTGCAACGCGTAGACTACAACGGCTGGCTGGGTGATTTTGGGCCTCTCCACACAAAAACTGTTCGTCCTGAGTGGAACGAATGTGAAGAGGATGCTTTCAGTCCAAAATGTAAGTGTATCATGATCAAAGCAGATAGGAGCTGAACATTCATATGTGGCAACTTCAGGTTCAAATCAAGCTACATACGAGTGGAATTTCAATCAGTGAGTACTTGAATGGAAAACAATTTAGTTCTGGCTAAATAGAATTTCATGTATTGCAGTCTTCCTAAAGAAAGCCACGAGAATGCTGATAAGCCGAAACTGCAACCAAAGACGACCGAAACGCGTAGATATGTCAACGTTGGCAATGACCACGATCAGGTCACGCGTGTGATCGATGACTTTGACGACAACTTAAGCGATCATTATAGCGTAATATCAGATCCTGTTTACCAATGGCTGAAAGAAGCCGTTTGACTTTGACCTATCAGTTCATGTTAAGCTCGATTTGATTTACATTTGTCCCACTTGCAATGCAAAAAAGACATTGAGTAACGAATAGATTATGTAATAAACCATGAGTGTCTTGCCATACCACGCCGGACAGTGATACTCGTAGTGTCGAAACACAGATAAGGACGATACAAGATACACGAAAAGAAAGGTTAAAGATGTCCATGCATGAATGTCAAGTGACAGAAATTCACTGCGTCCGGATATGAATGCAAAAGCCATAGGTAACCCCATACCGAGCAAAATGTTAAACACTGGCCCCCCAAAACAACCAGCGATAGCCATTTGCGGGAACCCAGATCGAGCCACTGATACATTTGTGATCAAGTCACCGACAGAGTTTCCCCATGCAAGTACAGTCAGCCCTAACAAGCTGTTACTAGCGTGAGTGATATAACCCACCGCCGTCAAAAGAGCCACCAGCTCATTTGCTGCCGCGTAGATCCAGACAACGCAAGCAATAAAAGCCGTGGAAAGGAACAAAATGGAAGCCTTAACCGATCGCGGTGCGTGAGACCGGTGTGTAAAGAACGAGGCGACAGCACATGCGCAGCTACCTAAAACTAAAATAGCTTGCCACAGCAAAAGACGGTATGAACTTCTCCCACCCAAAACGTCAGCACTTGCGTAATTGCTTGTCATTGCGACCAAAAGCGGGACTGTAACGAGCGATAGACACGCTTTGGGTCGCGACCAGGCCTCATTGTCAAAAAGAGGCACTGTAAGATCGCGAGCGAGCACAAGCAGGGCTTGCGGGAGGTGAAGAATTTTGACAACCAATGAGTTATCACTCTGATACAATTGGACTACACGACGCCTGAGTCGCCATCTCCAGCGAAGGTGTTTTTGCCATTCTGGTAGAACTTGATCGTCACTTATACCATCACGCTTATGGTACGCAATTAGTGGAGACGATAGTGAATCCTCTTCCTCAACTTCAAAGTGATCGTCAAAAACTCGACTTGAAAAGTGAAGGCTTGTCATTTCGCTAGCTATTGACTCGTCGATTCCCAATGTATCGCCGCCGCCATTCTCATTTGTTGTCCTTCCCGAATACTCCTCAGTTTTCAGTTTCGTTTTTAAGTCATATTGAGGTTCCGACCTAGATGCTCGTTTTACATTCTTCCCTCTTGGTGATAAAGCATGCCAATATGCCGACATCATCAAAGAATTCTCTCCTTCCACTTTGGCATCCCGATCGGTATTAGCAATTGTACTGTTCACCTTCAAGCATACTTCGAGCACCACACTGCCAACATATAATCCGTACATAACCAAAAAAATCACTGCAGCTAAGGCTGTATCCTTTAAATTCTCTTTTCTGCTGCTCACTGCCAGACCCATAAAAATCACCAGAGTGATAATTAATGCCCCCGCGTCTCGCAGAAATGCCCAGCGTTTCACCTTCACATCGCTGGCAATTGCCACACCACCCACAACTACTGTAGAAACAAACATAGCTCCACCAAGCAGCTCATTTACTCCAGTTTCCCCAACCCCAGAGCTGTATGCAGCAATAGCTGAAAAGACGTCTGGAGCTCCGTTTCCAATGGCAAGAAAAGTGACACCCGCAACATTGTGAGGCACCCGCAGGCGATCGCTTAGACTTGCTAGCGTCGGTGAGAAATATCCATCTGCTGTGCTTCCCACTATTAAACAAAGAAAAAGTATAGTCAGAGAAGAGGAAAAATGTGAGACAGAGCGAGTGTTAACGCACAGAAGTAAAAAAGGCAGCAGAGCCAGAGCAGTAGCATCGAGAAAGAGAGGAGTGGAAGGTCAGCAAGCGTGCAATAGTAGATGTGTACATAGTCAATGCCAAGAGGACCTAGCGTAATGTTTGCATCAAATGGTGAGCTGTCACATGGCGCTAGTAGTGCTGTCTCCATTGTAGCGTGAAGATTGAAATATAAAAGGCCCTACTTGCACAAATTATTATTAACACAATATGTCCGCAAATTGACAAGTGCTAAAACATTGTGGTCTCTAGAACTTCGCGCGACGTCACATCTACGTGGCTATTGAAGGAAAGCATACTTATGTTAGCATCCAGCAAACGATAGTGTTGGTCATTTTTCGTTTTGGAATATTTTGATCACGTTTCCACACCATCATGCAATCCATATTCAAGAGCAATACATGTGGTAAGGAACAGCAAACGCGAGTCTAAAATTACCTCAACAAGTAGCTAGTCAAAATGCGCTTACTATAAGCGTCAATAAGCTCCGATCTGCTGAAGTTGCCAAACCTTTAAACAGCTTTTGATTTAAGCCGAAATATTGCCGTCATTGATACTTGTAGGCTAATATTGCTGGCGTAAACAAAGTAAAGGGCGCCTTGCCTGTTTTAAATTTGAAGACCAGATGATCACGAAAACGGCGATCATCACATTGCACGCACGTTGTGGGTATAGTCATGGTTTGACAACGCTGTGGCATAGATCACGCGCTCGTTCAGGTAAAGTGATATCGGGACAAATTCGAGCGCTCCTGGCCGTGCTAGTTGGGCTGTGACCCGCATCACTAATGTCAGGGAGCACATAGAGTACACGCGTACACGAAAATTGCCGAGCGATACCCTTGATTTTAAAGATTTGAGTAAAATGTTTACTTGAAATTAATCGATCATCAAAACTACAAAGCAATGCAGCGCGGATCGGGTAGAAGAAATCGTGGTCGTGGTGCTTATAATGGC